CAATTAAGGCTGGGCACCGGAACGGGTTGTACCGGTACCGTTCTGATACCATTCCGGTCCATTTCGGTTCGGTAGTATTCGGGACGGGATGGGATACATTGAACCGGTACACGAAACGGAACGGTATCATGATTTGGTACCGGTTCATTCTGGTTCCGTTTCGGTCCGGTCCGGTACCGGTAAATCATTTTTAATTAAAATAAAAAATAATATTTTTGTCATTATTTACTTTTATTAGCATTTCTTTTTTGTTTATTTAATTTTTTAAAATTACAAACTTAAGTTATTTAACTTACAAGTTATAAATATAACTTAATAACTTATAAACTTCAAAAGATTCAAATCTTTAAAAACTTATAACATAACTACATAAGCTCAAAAACTTAAAAAAAAACTTTATCAAACTTAACTTACAAACTTATATACGTAAGAATTAAAAAAAAAATATCTTTGAAATAAACTCAAGTAAAATTATTATAAATTTTAAAACTTAAATACTATAAACTAATATAACTTAGAAAAAATAAAAACAAACATTCGTATTTTCGTAATTCAAAATAACTCAAAAAAAATAATTATTTTTTGAAATAGCTATATGTCCCGTCCCGTTTTTCCCATCCCGTTCCATTCCGGTCCGTCCCGGTTCTATCTCGGTATGTAGTGGGACGGGACGGAACTGAGCCTCCATCCTGGTAGTTCCGATCCGGTTCATCCCGGTACCGGTCAACAACCCGGTCAAACCGTCCCGTTCCGGTCCGGTGATCCCATTCCGGTCCGGTGCCCAGCCTTAATCCCAAGCATTTGAATTTGAATTGCGTGTTTGTACAGGTTAACCACTTAAAGCTCATAGAATTTAATACATATGTGCTAATTATCTTTTATGTTCCTTTATTGTATGATAAAATTATTTCGTTTCCAAAACATACATTATAAGCTACTTTTTGGTTATTGTTATTTGTAACTGTGACTTGATAGGCATCTTGACATACACTATTTACAAATGTTAATAGATTGCAAAATAATGTCTATTTACAATTTTGTCGATTATTTCGACTTTAACTTGAAATGAAGAATTTGAAAGTTGAACAACTTGTTTGTTTGAGGAGCTTCTCAAGGGCAATAATGGTTTTCACTCTCTAAACTTCTGAGATTTATTTTCTAGTGAAATTAATTTTTAGTCACAATCTTCCTAGTACTCTTTTTCAACTTCAACATCATATGGTCTTGTTGCCAACATCAACTAAATGTTGTCCCAATGGTACACCAGAACGAGTTATTTTTGACTATACGATTGTTTGGTTACCAATATTCTGAGTTGATTTTTGATGGTTGTCAGGTTATCATCATTCCTACATATGTAATTTGCATGGTGCCAGTAATTGATATCAAGCATCTGGAGTTAGAAATTATGTCGTGTCATTATATTACTAAGAGTTTTTAGAAAACTTCATTTGAATTCTTTCAGATTTGGAGACTTTGTCATTGACCTTGGGTTCCACCACAAAATTCATTAAGATAATCTACAAGTCCAATTGGCTTTTTCACAACTAGAGTTGTCAATATGGGCTAGCCCACCCCATCTGGGCTAACCCATACAAGCTTTGAAATTTGACGAGTCAGGCCGGGCTAGTCCATTTTTTGTGTGAGCTCGAAAATAGTCGGCCCAACCTACAAGAATGTGGGCTACGATCTTTGCCGGGCCAACCCTCTTTTTTTAAAGTCTATTTTTTATATTTTTTTTAATTAAATTATAATTTAAAAATATTATCATAAATATTGAGAAGACAATATTACATGATGTTAGTGTTACTACTTGTTAATTAAATAAATACATTAATTTCTCTAGTTTGGTCACTTTGGTGACTAACAAACTATATAAATACAAAGCACACATAATATTATAAAAAAATTTGTATGTGAATAATTTTATACATTTTAGTTTGACCACTTTGGTGACTAACAAACTATAGAAGCATAATACATGCATCAAGTGATCATAAATATGAAATGTGTAGAAGTTAATTTCTCTAGTTTGACCACTTTGCGACTAACAAACTATATAAATACAAA